CGACATGCTGCTGGAGCACAGCGCTGGCTGGTACAGCGCTGCTTGGAGGTGAAGGGCCGCTGGAGCTCAGCCTGCCTATGGCGAGCGGTCCAGCTTGAGGAGGAGGAAGAAGGGGGCGAGGTAGGAGAGTGGCGAGGCACCTACCTGGCTATGGTGGACACCGTCTTCAACACCTTGTTGAGCGCTGCATCTGGAAGGCCCCAGTTGGGGTAGTGCTGCACCAAGGAAGCTCAAGGCAGAGTCAGGCATGGTGGACCAGTCAGCAGCGGCAGAGCTGCTTTGGGTTGTCCTTTGGACATCAGCGCAGCACCATAGCTGCTTCTTTTCGACAGGAGGGCAGGGCCCTCATTAGTCCGCCATAGCCTATGCATGAGAGAGGAGGCTGAAGGAGGGAAGCCATAGCTATGGTGGACTTGTTGTTGTTGTTGTTGTTGTTGTTGTTGAGTTGAGTCAGCAGTAAGAGGGAACTTCGGATATTGATTCTGGTTCATCCATTCATTGTTATTATTATTGTTGGGAGAAAAATAAGATTGGCGAAGTGAAAGGGAGGAGGAAGGTGGAGAAAGAAGGGGGAATTGNTGGTTCATCCATTCATTGTTATTATTATTGTTGGGAGAAAAATAAGATTGGCGAAGTGAAAGGGAGGAGGAAGGTGGAGAAAGAAGGGGGAATTGCCATTGGTCTTGCTGGTGCATTTCTTCTTCTTCTTCTTCTTCTTCTTCTTCTTCTTCTTCTTCTTCTTCTTCTTTCTCTCTCCTCTGGTCTTCATCGCTTTGCAAGTGCTTTCATTCCTTTCGGAATTGGGTGGCATTGTCTTTCAATGTGAATTTGCACTTTGGAAATGACCAGGATAGTAACAATTGGTATCGGAGCGGACTTACTTGCTGGCGAGAGGTGTTAGTCACCCTAAACCTAATTCCGAGTTAGGTTAGGGCTAACCTAATCTCGGATTAGGGTTAGGAAGTTAGGGTTAAGTGGGGAAGCGAGGTATGTGGATACTGCCCCCACCTGGTTAGGTCATGTAGGGTCGACATCAGACCTGACCAGGTTGCTTGAGTGATTGGATGGGGTGGCGAGACACAAAGGAGGCTGATTGGAGTAAGCGAGAGGGAGTAGAGAGTGAGAGGTACTCGCACCTGGAATCTGAACTTCAAGAAGACATTGAGTGACTTTTGGGCTTCCCCTCAAGAGGAAGACTTGATCGGAGGCTGCCATAACTGCATCGGAGAGCTGCAAGTTGCTACTTTGGTCTTCAGACATCGGCGGGGGATCCGGCATTGCAACAGGGGTGTAGGAAGGCCCTCTTAGTCATGCTAGGACACTTTGTGTAGTGGTAGCTAGGGGTCAGGAGGACTTCTAAGAGAGGGGGGTGAGTCGTTATCCATCTTTGGAGGCCGGGCCTCACATGTAAGTGTCGTGTGACCTGGTTAGCCCGTGGGAGGTTGCTTGGTGCTTCATGGCCTGTTGGGGTGTGCTGGGCTCTCTTCCTCTTCTCTGCGGTCTTGGCTGTGTGTGTGAGCATGTGGATTGCTTTCTCACCTGATGGATGGATGGATGTATCTGCTCTAAATGACATATCTTTCTACGGTGCATTGTCTTTTCATTTCTGAACGGCTGTAGGGGTAAGTTCTTGCCGAAAGTTGTCTTTTCCTTTTCAGTACGGTAGAGGCAGTTTGGGACTAACTTGGTACACCTATCTCGTTGGTCCTGGTCCACGACCTACTTGGGACCTTTGGGACTCAGTGGGGCCAGGCCCAACGGGACAAGACCTTTTGGGCCCAAATCTGTTGCGGTCAATGCATCTCTTTGCTGTGCTGAACTTGGGGGACATACGGCTAGCAAGGGCATTCCTTTCAAGGGGATCTTGACTGGTCTTACTGCATGTTATCACTTACTGCCCCGCGTCTGGCTCGGCAACCGTCTGCACCCCTCGAAATCTCCATTGCTGCAATTAGTTTTTCTTCGGCTGATTTATTGTGGTACATGTACCCTGTCAAGTTAGACAAGAGGGGATCTCCAGCTAATCTGATCGGGCCTGTTCGATAAGTCATCCCTCTCTTCCGTTTTATTTTTTTTATTCTTTTCTTTATTCTGCTGCGTGCCATTCTCTAAGTCCAAATGAATTGTCGCTCCGGCTAGGAGTTCCACCTTCTACTTTGTGTGATTTACTGTTTGTTTCTTTCATCTGAACTATCTATGTCCGGTATTGAGACGCGTGCGCAGACAGCGGGAAGAGAGAGAAGGGAGAGAGAAGGTGTTCTTTTTGAGAGTGTGAGGAAGGGCAAGAGGAGTGTTCGTCCAAACGTGAGGAGAGAGCGGACCCCTCTTGAGAGATCTACTAACACCCCTTCCTCCGGCATGGCAGACACCACATCTGCGCAATGGCAGGCCCTCCTGGACGCAGCGGACGAGAACGAGAAACCGTTCTTCCAAAAGCTTTATGACGACGCCGTACAGAGGGAAAGGGAGGCAGAGGCAGCAGCCAGAGCCACAAGCATTGCTGAACAGGTGGCCCTCCTTCAGGTCCCAGAAGCGAATGCTGATCGGTTCCAAGAGAGACTAGTCGTTGTCGTAGCAGCCTTGGTTCGATTGCGGACCTTGGAAGACCTTGAGTCCCGTGTGACAGCACTGGAACAGCGGAACCAAGAGTTGCAGGTTGAGATAGTCAGCCTCAAACAGTCCCAATTGTCTGCCCCCCGTCCTCCTAACACTCGACCTGCTGCAGTCCCAGTCTCTCAATCTAACACAGTCCTCATGACAAGAGCCAGCGGAACTGTGACCAGCGCAGGAACTGGTGTCAGCTCCTCAAGCGGCAGCGCCGACAGTTCTGCACTAGTCATAGTCCCAAATGCAAGAACATCAGCCCAAAACGCCACAGTTCTTACTGGCGTACAGTACAGCGGTCCCGTAGTGGACAAGCGGGCGGCCACTCTGCCGTCCAAGTGCGACGGGAAAGGGGACATCACCTCTTGGATTAGCTCCATGCGCTCATACTTCGAGGTGATGCGGACATCGCCGGAAGACCGAAGCATGATCATGGGCACTAATACCAAGCCCACCATACTGGATTTCATTGAACTCCAAGCTGTTACAGCAGGTTATGAGAGAATTGACCTGACTGAGTGGCTGAAAGTAACTCCTGTACACACTCTTGAGGACCTTCTCATCACACGGTACCAAGATAAGCACGCTGCACTCAAGGCAAGGCTGAAGCTTGAGGCCCTCAAGGGCCAAACATGGAGGACCTCCATGCAGGCTTTGGAACAACACTTTACTGGTCTTGCATGGATGTAGTCATGGGAGTGGCCCCTAAAGAATATATCTCCCTGCTAGGACTCAAAGACCATACCACTTGGCGAGAGCTCATGACGGATCTAGTCAACCTAGAGGCCAAGGACCTCGCCAGGCGTAAGAAGGCACCCGCTGCAAGTAGCAAATCGCAACGCAAGCGGTATGGGAGCAGCAACCAGCTTGCCCTACATGAACATCGGGAGGCTGAAGATCAGTCTTACGCGGATGATCTGTCTCTAGATGACGATCTAGAGCCGGACTCCGATATGGGTTGTTCTACATCAGCCATTGAGTCTGACATGAATGAAGATGAAAAACTTAATGCTTTCAAAAAGACTGCTTCAAGCAAGCGGCCTAACCGTGGTTCGGGTAGAGGAACTATTGCACACCTCTCCAAGAATGCGAAGATCCCTGAGAAACCGGAGGACGCTTCTACCAAGCCTTGGAAAGCCCTCCGTCAAAAAGAATGGGAAAGAAGATCCAAACTGCGAGTATGCTTGCATTGTCAAAAGCTTGGGCGTGTTGTGCAGGACTGTTATCGTCTGCAGGGAAACAGGCAAAGGGCGTAAAAGAGTCATCAGCACTCTCTACAACAAGGGAAGCTGAAGCGTCAGTTGCAGGCCCCTCCAAGGCGCCTGAATCTGATCAACGACCTGCCCCTGAAGCCCGGAACGACGCTGAATCCAAGGTTGCAGTTCATGTACTGTACACTGAGCCTTGGGAGGAGTCTAAGGAAGTTGACTTCAACGCTCACCTGGAACATTGGCTGCAGCTCAAGCAGCAACGCCGTGTTCAAGGGAGTGTGGAGCTAACCTTCTTTACACTGCTCATTAACCGCCGATACATCCGCGTGCTGATTAATGGTGGTTCAACCACCAATTTATTTTCTCCTAACGGGATTCGTAAGGCGGGCCTGGGAATGAAGCAAGTGGAATTACAGAACCCTTGTCAGACCCAGGTGGACAATCAAGAGGTTGTCACCTCCACACATGCTGTCAAAGGTGTGCGCGTCACTTTTGACAAGGATTGCACTGTCACACATGAGTTGAACTTCTATGTCATGAACAAGTGTCCGTTCGACGCGGTCATTGGTTTGGGCTGGTTAAAGGCTCACTGCCTAAGGACCACGTGGGTGGATAATCAGTTCGTGGTGCGTGATGCCAAGGGGAACGAGCGTACCGTTCTATTGGACGAGACGCACGAGTCCCCTGTGACTCTTTTGAGTGTGAACAAAGGGTACATATAGCTCTTGTAAAACCTCTCCATGTGCCTTCTACTTTTTCTGCATTTTCTACCTCGGTAAGTAATTCTACTTCTCTTCCATCTACTTCTATTGTGGATAATCCCTCTACTTCTGATCCAAGTACTTCAAATCCGGTTGTAATTGCTGTAAATTCTCGATCTGATTTTCTTTCTCCTGATGAGGATGATCCTCCACCAGAAGTCCCAACAAACGTTCGCCGGCTATTAGATCGATTTCCTAAAGTTTTGTCCAAACCTCGTGAAGTTTCCGAGCGTCCGGTCAAACACAAGATCGAGATAATAGAGGGAGTGTTCCTCCAAAGGGCTGCGTCTACCGTATGGGACAAGGCGAGTTGGAGGAGTTGAGGAGGCAGATTGATGACATGATCGATCGTGGATGGATTAGGCCTAGTGAGTCTGAGTTCGGTGCACCTGTCCTGTTTGTGCCGAAGAAAGGAGGCAAACTCCGGATGTGCATTGACTATCGTGGCCTAAACCGTATCACCCGAAAGAACGCGTATCCTTTGTCTCGCATAGATGATCTGCTAGATGCAGCAGGTGGGTGCAAGGTCTTCTCCAGGATCGACCTCAAGTCTGGTTACCACCAAATTGAAGTTGCTCCGAGTGACCAACACAAAACTGCATTCAAAACACGCGATGGGTTGTACGAATTCATCGTTATGCCCTTCGGTCTGACGAATGCACCAGCCACATTTCAGTGCCTCATGGACAAGGTTCTCCGCCATCAGCTGAACAGGTTTGTTGTTGTTTACCTCGATGACATTCTGATTTTCAGCAAGTCCATGGAAGAGCACGTCAAGCACCTTGAGGAGGTTTTGCAGGTCCTCAAGGAGGCACAACTGCACCTCAACTTAGAGAAATCTGAGTTTGGAGGGACAGCGTCATCTATCTTGGGCACCAGTTGTCTGCAAACGGCCTTGAGCCGGAGGCAACCAAGGTTGAGGTCATCCGAAAGTGGCCTCAACCAACGAACGTACGCGAATTGCTTTCTTTTCTTGGTTTGGCATCGTACTACCGAAAGTTTGTGCCCAATTTTTATGTCATTGCTCACCCACTCTCGAGACTAACAAGCAAGAATGTTGCATATGCGTGGTGCGAGAAATGTGAGACTGCGTTCCAAGCCTTGAAAGAGGCATTGGTGAGTCATCCTGTGCTCCGCGTTGCGGATCCCAACCTCACATTCGTAGTCACTATGGACGCGAGCCAGTTTAGGATTGGTGCAGTGCTGCAACAAGATGATGGTGATGGTCTGCGTCCGCTCGAGTATTACAGCAAACGCATGCCCAACCACAAGGTGGCTACCTCCACGTATATGCGTTAGCTCTACGCCCTGCGCGAGGCGCTCACACATTGGAAGCACTACCTCTTGGGTCGGCACTTCAAGGTCTACTCAGATCATCAGACCTTGCAGTGGATTAAGACACAAACTGATCTCTCTCCTACACTGACCCGCTGGTTGCATGACATTGATGTCTATAATTTTGAGTTGAAACACAAGAAAGGTTATTATAACCGTGTTGCTCATGCTCTCTCACGCCATCCTGAGTTTTTGACTTGCCTTATGGGTTCGTATGAGCTCCGAAGGAAACTGAAGGAGGATGTGGTCGAACACACCGCCAAGGATCCGGACCTTAGTCCCATCCTTGAGCAGCTCAAGGCTGACCCTAACAGTCAGCCTGATTTTCATGAGTGCGAGGGTCTTGTATTCTGCCGGTATGGGAAATTTGATCGTTTGTGTGTACCCAACCATGCGCCTCTCCGAACTCATTTGTTGGATTTGGCACATGGTCGGAGTGGACATTTCGGCTTTCAGAAGATTTATGGAAGTCTTTTGCAGCAGTTTGATTGGTCGGGAATGAAGGGATCTGCTCAGAAGTTCATTGCTGAATGTAAAGTATGTCAAAGAACCAAGGTCCACAGACATAAGCCTTATGGCCTGCTGAGACCCCTCCTTTTTCCTGATGATCCCGGTGAGTCGATTTCCATCGACTTCACGGACATGGGAAAGGTGAGTGAGGCAGGGAACTCACAAGTCATGGTCATCGTGAACCGTTTTTCCAAATTTATGAACTTGATTCCTTTCCCTCCCCATGCCCCAACTGAACTTGTCATCGAAGAATTTCATCAACAGTATATTCTGCAGTTTGGCCACCCGAAAACTATTGCGAGCGATCGGGACACCAAATTTATTAGCAAAGATTGGAAGGACTTCACCTCGCAGATCTATGACATTTAACTCAACAAGACTTCTGGTCGACATCCCGAAGCCAATGGATTGGCCGAGGAAATCAACCAGACTGCCATTCAACTGCTTCGCGCGCTAATTGTTCCAAATCAGAACACGTGGGACAAGGAGTTATACAAAGCGAAAGGATTGTACAACAACTCCATTCACTCTGCAACAGGTGTGACACCGAATCAGCTGCAATACGGATGGCAGCTGCGCAATCCTCTCTCCTATCTGTTCCCCGAACGGTCACCTAGTCTGACGCCCGGCATGCCTGGCTACAATGCCAAGTACGGACGCCTGCTCAAAGCTGCTATTGCAACAATGAACAAGCGTCAGCATGCCATGATCAAACATGCGAATAAGTCGCGCAAAGAAGCGAACTTCAAAGTAAGGGATTATGTCTGGGTCAAAATGTCTGAGTTTTCTAATGAAGAGGGCGTATCACGGAAACTTCTTCCATTGTACTATGGCCCTTGGCAGGTTCTGAAGGTGATTGGGGATGATTTTGGTCCTTTATATGTGATTGATGTGCCTCCTCATCTGCGCACATATCCGGTCTTTCATGCATCCAAACTATTTCCACACATCGATGATGAAACTTTTCCCTTCCGAGATCCTATGATACCTCGTCCTATCGACGGCGGCCATGAGATAGACAGAATCGTTTCCCATGAAGGCAGAGGGAGGAACAGACAGTATAAGGTTCACTTCCTCTATCACCCGTTGAACGAGTTTTTTTGGATCAAACGGAAAGAGCTGCTAAAGAATGTTCCACGTGTTGTGAACGCTTATGAACGACAGATCACTGATGGACAGACTGTTAAGTTTTTTGCAAGACTCACTCCTTACGGTATTACTAAGTCTCTCTTTTTGATCTACGCCTACGATGCCTTTTGTGCCGACTCTGAATGAGTTACTCGCTCGAAGGGACCTCGCTCTTGAGAGGGGGGTAGTGTAATGACCCGCCAAAAACACAGACTGAGAACACTGCTGATTTCTAGGATTTGCTGCTGGAATGAATGCCTTGCTGAAATTCCCGCATTCTGTTGTGATTTCCATGTCCGTGTGTGTGTGCTTGCCTGCTGGTTTGCATGCCTGTCTGAGTGCTTGTCGGTTGAGTGTGTGTGTGACCCGCAAGGGTACTTGTTGGTTGAAAGGCCCCGCAGGGCCG